TTAATAAGATGGTAGGGATCTTTCTGGAGAAGAGGGTAAGAACCTGTGATTTCTCAGCCTTTTGGCAGAAGAGGTTGCTGAAGTTGTTTGAACAGTGGCAGTCTGCCTCTTTTACTGCTAATAATTTTGGAGTTAGAAATTCCATAGCCATGCAAGTGAGAAGGTCTACCTTATGTGGGGTTCAGGAGAAGGTAACCGATACAAAATCCTAGCAGGTTTTATTCAGATGGCCTTCTCCATCTTGGGGCTATCATGAGGTTCAAGGGATGCATATCCTTATTCTCCAGCTTTTTTAGTTTTCCATCAACAGGAGGAGTTGGTCCTTTTCTCCCTGTCCCCCAAAACAGCCACCCCGAAAAGTTAGAAGACTGAAGTCTGCTGAGCAGCTACTCCTGATTTGCTGATGGATATAGGTCATAGAAATGGGATTGCTGTGTCTTCTCCAATGCCACTCTCAAAGGGTTGTAGGATGCACAGTAATAATTTATTTATTTTTTTTTTCTGATGGAGGGGGTGAAAATGCAGTAATTGAAGAGTGTAGACGTACATGAGCACGTACGTGACATTTGTGTGTGTGAAGCAGCTGAAATAAATTTGTTTTCATCTGACAGTGAGCTAAGCAAAGATCCCAGCCTTTCTTTTTATATGCTGCATCTGCAGGTCTGTGATGCTTCCTTGACTTCATTATTAAATCTGTACCATTTTAAATGTTAAACTACTACAGACCTAAGGGTTTACTCTTTATAGCAGAATTGTAGAAAATTTACTGTACAATAAAATGATCAAAAATCATTACCCAAATAATCAGACATAATAAAATTAACAAACTAGCAGTGGTGGATACAGATGTATTTGCAAAACATCTCCTTCTCTTCCAAGATTTTTATTTCATGGTTTAACTGCATCATACTACCTATGCCATTGGGGATGCTAATTACTGTAGTGTGATGATAAACAAGATTCATTGGCCAAAGAGATGTCCCTTTGACATTGCTGTGGTGAAAGTACTTCATCACAATCTTGTTAGTGCTGTCAATTATCTTAGCTTATATGAAGTGTGAATGATGTGTTGGAAGGATTAATTTTGTCAGGTATACTTATGACAAGGGTAGCTAACATCTCATAAGGGATAGTTTATAAGCACTTCCATGATTACCCCAATTGTTTTATTTCATAATTAATTACGTTTATTCATGGATGAAGCTGTGATTTCCATCTGGAATTAGAAAGTTAATATCTGTTAGCCATTGTGAAAAATAAAATTACTCTTCTAGAACCACCATTGTTTTCTCCAAAGAATGGAATCTTAATGCATGTGTGTTTATAATGTATGTGACCACAGAGTTCATGGGTTTAAGTTAAACCTCATAGTAGTACACTTTATAGTGCATATGTTTTATAAGACTTCCAAGAAAAGAATAGGAGAACAGAGTTGAGTCCACTGACTGAATTCTCTTTGTGTGTGTTTGTTAATTAATAGGACAGGTATTTTTGTGTTATGGAAAAAGACTTTTGGTTTTACTAGTCAAGACTATTCCATCTTGAATTTGGTAGAATTGGATTTTTGTGATGGGTAGCTAGGAAGAACATATGCATACACACCTTAGTTTTCTTTCAGAGTTCAGTATCTTTCTAATAATGATCATTAAATTCACTTCATTATTATTAATATTAATTGCACGGCTGTGTGCATTAAGTGACCTCAAGAATACGTTGACACATTAATAGTGCCTCTGGCACGCTGCATAGTAAAAACAGGGAAATAACACTGATCAGTTTATTCTTTTCTAATACTATCTGTCTTGTTTTCAAAACCTTTTAAATAATTTAAGTTAAAATTAAGTGGTGCTAAGGATAGTTCAGTATTTAACTTCTCAGATTTAAATTTTCCTTGTGACTTTGTTGTTTGGTGAGTCTTCTAGGTTTTATAGAATCACCATTTCTAAAGTTCCTGGCTTCTTTCTGTAGACAACTTTCCTCTTCTGTTCAAGGTTCAGCTTTGTCTCTTTATGCTTTCTGCTACATCTAGCAAGGGGCTCCTTTTAAATCTTCCTTCTATCCTGTCGGCTTTAGGAAGTGAATCAGGGTCCTCAACAGATGATAAACTGCTTATGGTGAACTATACCTGTTCCTTAACTGAGAGGTAATCAGTTTATTCGGTAACACTTCTTTCTAGTCTGGTGTGAGATGCACAAATTCTCTGATCACTTATTTGAGCTTTTGCTTAATACAGAAGCAGAAAATATTTTAAGATGACGATCAACCCTTGCATTCAGGATAGAGCTTGCATTTTGATACAGTTATATATGAGCAGTCCTTAGTTTTTGGTGGAATTCATAAACTTTATAAAAACAATCTGTAGACAATTATAAATTCAGCATCTTGAAAAGCATGCATATGGAAGTAAGGTAAAATATGTGGTATGATTGCTATTGAAAATTAACAATGCACCTGCTAATGGTAGCCCCATTTGACAAAATAATTACCTTCTGCGTTTGACTTACTGAAGCTTTACTGTTTTAAAACCCAATTTATTCTGTTACACCATCCATGTACAGAGATCCCAGGTGCTGTCATCTAAGAATGAATAGGTAAAGACTATTGTTCATTAATAATAAAATGATTCATTGTGAGTAAAAAGATAATTAAGGGGTTTATAGCTAAATGACTGAAGATATAAAGTGAAAGATAATTTTAGCTTATTAAAAATCTGCATTGAATATGACAAGGATAAAATCCACAGAAAATAGTATGTGTAAAACAGTAAAAATGAGACAGTGAACACAAGAACATCTTGGATATATTTAAGTCCTAAATAAAGCTGCTTAATATTTTTAAAATCCTTGCCTAAAAGCTAAGATAACTTTTTTCCTCCTATTAATCTCCACGCATGGTGAAAACTCCCACCTTGGTTTGGTGCTTTGCTACCTTTCCCCTGCCAAAAAACTTAACAAAACTTGAGGGTTATAGATTTCCTTGAGGCAGTACTTGGTTCGCCTACTTGAAGAATTGATTCTAACTCAAGTCATCATCAGCTTTTGTGCACGCTTGCTGGCTGCATGCTGGTAGCCTTCAGCCTGTGGAGCTATAAAGCTGGCTTTCACAGGGATGTGTCATTAAGGTACAGGAATAGCCAACATTTTCTCTGCTATTTTTCAACTCTTGTTTTCTAAAATCCTCTTTTCTCCTGCAAAGTTAAGGTGATCAGTTAACAGGACCTGTATGTTCCTATATGTTTATAGATGTCATCCTTCACAGAATCATCTAGGTTGGGAAAGACCTTGAAGATCATCCAGTCCAACCATTAACCCAACACTGACAGTTCCCAGCTACACCAGATCCCTCAGCGCTATGTTAAACCTACTCTTAAACACCTTTAGGGATGGGGACTCCACCACTGCAATGGGCAGCCCATTTCAACACCTAACAACCCCTCCGGGAAAGAAATGCTTCCTAATATCCAGTCTAAACCTTCCCTGGTGCAACTTGAGGTCATTCCCTCATGTTCTGTTGCTTGTTACTTGGTTAAAGAGACTCATACCCAGCTCTCTGCAACCTCCTTTCAGGTAGCTGTAGAGGGCAATTCAATTCTTTTCTAGATTAAAAGGAGTCCAACATTTTTTAATACAGTTATTTCATTTACTTTTCTTAAAAGTGAGATACATTACCACTCCTATTATGCAGTGTTTTAGAAGTGTTCTGCACAATACTGCTGTGCTCTAAAGTCAAGGAAACGGTATCAAAATATACCAGGATGTTATTAGTAATAAAAATTCAGATTGCTCAGGCACAGAATCCTTTTAATATATTTCAGGGCTCAAAAGATGATATGTATGTATTGTTGATGATGTATCAACAGCTTATGGTTTATAGACAGAGGTGGTTCCCAAGTGTTTGGGATGAGCATTTCTGTGCAGCTGTTACAAAAGATCAAGACCTGCCCCTGTGGTTCAGCTGGGTGACCACACAGGTGATTGCTGCTTATCTAAACACTAGGAGTGAGACCCCAGGGCTGGTCCTGTTTTGGCACAGCCTGAAACACGGAGTTAGTGGTTGGGTATGAGGCATGTGAAGGAGCACATGCGAGGGAGGGAGGTGTGCGGCTAGGCTGTTGTGTGCTGGGGATACTGAGGAGATGATGCTGTGCCACAGCAATGTTGTGGAAGATGAGACTGAAAACTGCTGCATGTGTGCATTAGCTATCAGAAATTTGTGACCCATGATAGTTTGCCTGTGGTGCCTAGAGTGACAGTGACTGTGTTGTGGCTTATAACTTGCCCAGGGTAAGGCTAGGATCTTTTGACCTGCTGCCATCCTTAATTTGGAAAAAAAAAGGTACAGGAAAAATGGCTCCTTCCCCCTTCATCTGGTGGAGGTTGGTTGACTGGCTTGTTTCTCCATGTTGCTACTGTCTGTAAGGGGAAAAAAATGTAGCAATTATTTAGGTTGATGATCAAATTCATTGAAATCAGAGATTTTTATCACTGATCTCAGTGTAGCCAGGTAACTGCATTATGCCCTGCTCTGGGGAATCTGCTAACAGCTCCCTGTGTAGCAGGAGACAAGCTCTTATTTTTCAGAGAGGAGATTGTTAGGCATCATCTACTATTAGTGTGGAACATGAACAATTTTTCCTGTGCTGACAGGCATATAACACAACCATTAGACTGCTTAATTCTTGTATGTGCAGTGCTTCTTGTCCAGAGCAATGGTCAATAATAATGCACAAGGGAGATAATTTCCAGCAGTATTAGATGGAAACACCTACATAAAAGTCTCTTAACGCAGAGATCTTGGGTTAAGTTAGCAGCAGTGTTGACACAAGTGTGAAGATAAATGTAGAAGAATGGATTAGTTTGTTACCTAATTACATCTAATGAAGTTCAGAATATTTTAGTATGTTTCATTCCAGAGTACTTTTTTTTATTACAAAGATAATTTTTTCTGCCTCTTCCTCTGCTCGTGAAGAAACATTAATATCTCTTTATATTGTTGTACAGACCACTTTCTGATTCTGAACAGATCAACTTTTTAAAAAAAGCGAGACTATATATACAGCAGCAGAAGTACGATGAAGCGGTAAGTCTATTTTGCTATATGTCTTCTGGAAACTTTTTGCAGGAATTTCTATTATATGTAAATATTTAGATTTGTTTAACTTGAAATGAAACTGGGAAATAAAACTTTTTTCCTTCCATATAATGCACATCTCACTAACACAAACAAAATCCCACTGTAAGTCTCCAAAATTTTGCATTTTGACGTCAGTTCTAATGAATAATACTGACTGGCTCTATTTTTTCTCATACTTCTTAAACTGTTTGTTACCATTTCAGAGTATACTAATACACTGTGGTTTTATTTTCCACTGTAAAAAAGGGTAAACTGAGAAAAAAAACTGAGGAATGTAGTTCATGTTCACACTTCTTAGGCTGATAGTTGCATGAGAAAAAGAATTATGATGTCTTGCTCCACCATGGATCCTGCTTTGTTTTGTTCTTTTACCTGAACCAGCTGTTCATGTTTTTAATTTCACATTTCAGTTTGTCAGAGACTAGAAGCCATATGTGGAACCATTCTGTGCTTCCCAGTTCCAGTATTACTTTTCTAAATGTTTGCTACCACTCACTGTGCGACAGGGTACTCGAGGGGTGCAGTTCTCCAGTGCTTGCATTCTGACATTCACAGAAATAATTTGTAGAGTGAAATGATAAAGTCTTTTATTTTAATGGGTGTAGTTTGGTCATTGACTTTTGTGTTAAAAAGTACATGACAAAGTTGGATATGTAAGATTACATTAACCTGCCAGATGCATAGAAGAATAGTTCCATTATATGGTAGGGTTCAGCTCTTCTTTTTCCCTAGTATGTTTCTCAGGGTAATAATTAACTATTTTATGCACAGGACAGCTGAATCTATTTTATACCTTGTGCCTTTTTATTTACCTCATTGTAAATTGGAAATAGCTCAATTTAAATCAATGGATCTATTTTGCTGTGGGAGCAGGTTTTCTTTTTTGGTTCCTAATACTACTACTTGGCTGTCACACATTCACTTATAGGAGACATTTTATATGTTTCAGAAGTAGAACTTGTGAGTTTGTGTTGCTGGTTATATATAAATTTTACCCCTTGTTCACTTGAGTGCCCCAGGTGTTCAAGTTCAGTTTTGATCACTCAAGCATTGGGCTTGTGCCTGGGCCCTGGTTATCATCGGCTTCCTATATTGCAGTGCAGAAAGGTCAGTACCAGCTGCTAGAGTATAGATGGTTCTTTGCCTTATCAACTCTGCAGCTCTTTGTATTTCAAATGTGCATTAATAATTGTATCCTCAGGAATTATGTGATTTTGGGTGAGTTTGCCCATTGTCAGACTCGTGATTTCTTAAGTAGTTGACATAGGTTTTTCTGTTGATTGTTGTTGTTAAGTCCCAATTGGATACCTGGACGTAGAAAGAAGCATCGTCATATGCTCAACTTATTACACTCTTCCTTCCAGATCTTCTAATCACCAGAGAATCTTCTGTGATCACAAATTACACAGCTGAGCTTCCCATCTTTTGGTAAACCCCAGGGGTCAGCACACCTCTGTGTAAGGAGTGACACTCACGGTGGGAAGAACCACTGTCTTTATCATGGTGTCTCCCCAGTGGAAGTACTGAGTAAGGGGACCTGTGATTAGACTGGGTACAACCCTTCTTCTGTCAAAATGATTTGTATCCTGAGAGCCCCATGCAGCTGCTTTGTGAATGAAACTGGGGCTCCAGTTCTCTCTCTGAATTCACCTCTAGGCAAACATAGTGATTTAAAACTATTAGAGGGTCCATCTCTAACCAGAAGTAAATTTTCGGCATTAATTAAGGTAAAGTCACAATGCAAAGTGCTAGGAGTATCAGGTACTATTGAAGTGAAGGACATCAGACCCCAGGAAGGGGGGCATTTCAGGCTGTGAAGAGTGACCATGTCTAAGCTGCATCCATAATCCTCCTCCTATGTAAATGTTGTGCCTTCAGAAGCACATGACTGTTTTTTGGAGGGTCACTAATACTGGAATATATATATATATATGGTCAAATGCTCATGGGAAAAACAAGTGGCATGTTTGGTAGAAGTTGGTGTTCAACTTGTGCTATCTCTGTAGCTTTCACCATCTGACCACTGTTGTGGCCAGGGGGGGTGGAAAAGGAGCCAAATGATGGTTGACTTTATGTCCAACAAGAATCCAAAGCAGTGTGTACTCCAACAGTTGGCGCTGGCCAGAACACTCTACCTAAGCGCAGAGAGGACACGTATGCCAAGAGTGGCAGAGCTGCTTGAGCTCCCGTTGCTGTCAGTTAGATCGATTTGTGGAATTGAGCCTACACTATTCTAAACTGTTACTTATATGTTTTGTCTGCCTCTAGGTATCTCTGTGCAAAACCCTGATTAACCTTGCTTTGGAAGGCTTGTCTTATTACCATACTTATGATAGATTATTCTTGGGTCTAAGTATTGCAGTGAGTTTTGTGGGCTGGACAGCTTATGTGATTTTGGTGATTATCAAGACCTATACCAATTTAACCAAGACTATCCAGGCTAATAAGGTAGGTTGGAAATATGTAATTATTTTTTTCTATCAGTTTTTAGCATTATATATATATGTTCAGTCTCTCTGTGTGGAACAAATTGCATGCCTTCTAATTCCTTTGACTACACAGGGAAACTGGCAAGCTGTGGACTTTTCTAGCTACTGCAATCCTGCATAGTGTTACTGTTTGGTCTGTTTATTAGGATCAGCATCATATAAACCACGTGGTCTGAGTATGCAATACTGTGCTTTCTCAGTTTCTTCCTTCCTGCAACTATGCATTTTACTAGATGCTAGTGCAAGTGTAGGCAAACAGTGATTTAAAACTATTAGAGGGTCTGTCTCTAACCAGAAGTAAATTTTCAGCATTAATTGTGGTAAAGTCAGCATTCTGTTGTAAATACTTGTTTGGAAGAATACAGACTTCAGGCTTCCATTTTGATTTTTGTTCATTAATGTAAGGCCAAAAAAAATTATCTTGTAAATTGTTGTTCCTGTCTCTTTGTCAATGTGATATCAGTTTTCGGAAGCTGTGCAGTCCAATCATGGAGTTTTTAAAATGTATAACTTGTTTTAATAGAAAGGTGAACTATGGTTTCCCAGATTGTTTTGCTCTCTTGTTCTTTGTGATTTGCAGGGTTGCAGCAGAACACATCAAAGATGAAGGAAGCTCTTTTTGACAAGATTATTATGGTTCAATTTTTCACAAAGTACAAAATCCTAGGAAATTAATTTACTTTCAGTCATTCATCAGGAAAAAATACCTCAAAAATACGAACAGGCAAAAACCTAGCTTTTCACTAGAGGATTAAAGCCTTGAGGGGGAGAAGAAAAAAAAATCTCCCAAACGTCAAGAATTTGTTTCAGAATAAAAGGAGTTGTTTCATTTGGTAATGTGGATGAGAATGAGCACTCACTTAGCATCTTTACTGCCTTCAGTATATTACTCAGAGAAAATTCCTATCATGCTATCTTGAGGTTTTTACTACTGACTGAAATGAGATAGTCTTGGCCTTTAATGAAAATGATCAAACAAAATTGAAATGGAAAATATTCACGAGTGCTGTACTGCATGATTTAGGTTTTCTTTCATCAAATAACTGAGAAGAAATAATCCAAGATTCATGTTATGTTAGATATGAACAAAATGATTACAATAAATAGACCGAGTATTGGGCATATTAATAACTACATTAAGCAAAAACTTCACATTTTTTGTTGACATCAGATTTTAATTTAGGATATTGATTTTACTTGTTGAAGACAAATTTTATGCTAGCAACACTGGTAGAAGAAAAATTATGTTTCTTAGTTCTTTGTCTAGAGAATTTTTCTTTCCTTAGTTTTAGTAAGAAGCCTTTTTCTGTAGAAACCTTTTGTATTGTTCCTAAATACTTAGGGAATCACAGTGTGAGGCTAATGCTTCATATATGGAAGTTATTTGGTTTACAGCTAATAATGGAGCTACTTAAAGAGTTTTGCTGAGAAACTAATCTACCATTGACAAACAGTCTTCTGCAAAGCACAGCCTTATAAAATGTGAAAGGAGCCTCTGAATAATGAAACTGCATATCCTGTATATATTATCTTTAAAAGTTTTGACTTGTTATGCTACATATAAAAGAACTCTTTTTCTTCTAGAGTAGTGTGTTGTTTCGCTAGCAAGAAGCCTAACCTTCTAATCTATTTTTAAACATCCACAGAAAATGCAAATCTGGTTTCCATTTTCAGTGCATGACCAACTATATTGGATTCTATATTTATGTCTCTCTATGGAATAAAATGTTGGTTGTGTGTATTCAGTGATAAATTATATTGTGTGCATATCATATCTATACATATTCATTCTGTCTATATGTCAGCGAATGTAAAATTTAAAACTAATAAACCAAAATTGCATTAGGCCAGCTTTCTATATGACTTTTTTCCTTTCTTTGATGGCGTATCTTAGCAGAAATTCTATTTTAAAAATCATTTAGAACTTGCATTTGCTGTCAGTTTAGATCAAGACAGTTGTATGTCAACTATGGAGGGGTGGGGAGACCGGGAAAAATGTTAATCTGTTTATGTGAACTACTAATTGCATGTCTTCTCAGCATATTTAATATAGTCATGTATCTGTCTGCATAACTCATTCAAAAAAACTGTCACTCATGTAGAAGAAAACAGTGTCTTCAGTCATTACGTACACAATACATTAAAGACTGCTCAGTCACCAAAGCTGCCTTTGCTATGTCAAGTTGCAATACATAAAGATAAAATTGTTTATTTAAAACTTGTACGTAATCCTCCCTTACCAGTAATTCTGATATCTGAATGTCCCTAAATAAGGAAGAGTAGTTTAATAATCAGGTAAAAGGCAGATACAGAGTGATTGTTTTAATTCTCCTCTTTGCACAAACAAGAGATTGCTACTATCTGATGATTAAGGACTAGCCTACCTGTCTGAGATTACCCAGTGAAAAAATTTATTTGCTTTCTGATGTTCTTCCTTACAGCTCTCTCAGTCTGAGAATGTGTTTCTTTGAGTACATGGTAGGGAGAATGTTCTAATCTCTTAATTTTTTTTTTTTTTTTAAGGAAAGCCCAAAGCTGACGTTGTAGATTATGATTAAATACAGTAACAGTTCTGGCTATGCTAGGAACCTTTCAAGTGCTGTGTGACACTAGTTCTCTGTTGTATTTTGAAATTCTAGGTTCTCTGAGTAAGGCTGTCTCTCCTATAGAAGACAAGCCTCCTTCAGTAGCTGCCCCTTAGATCCTGAAGTGTTGTGTTTTTTCCAGCAGGAGTTAATGCTTTATATTTTAATTTTAGTTAGTTCTCTTACAAATGTCTCAGGCAAGAGGAGGAAATGTGCTAATGCAATTTTCATTAAACATTTTGACTGTAATGCTATGAACTTGAACTCAAAAGGTTATATTCCAAGTCTGTTTTCAGAATCAACATTTAAGAGAATCTTTTTTTCCAAGACATTTAAGATATCTGACTTCCAATGGATTTCAAGTATCCATTGAACATAAATAACATTGCATGTATTGGGCTTCCTACTGTTTTTTTTTTCATCTGGCTGGAAAAAGCATCCAGAGCTGTGTACATAGACACAAGGCAGCTTCAGTGACTGTGTTAAAATAACATTTGTTTTACTGTGTAACTAACAAATGGAAAATACTGTGTAGTTTAAAACATTTTATTGCTGCTTCAGGTACATTTGTCCAACCATTTGTTTTTCAGGAATCTACTGTTCTCTTCTACAGTTTTGCCTTTGTTGGAATGATAATAGCTTTTTTCCTGTTGATTCAAACAAGTCCTTGGACATACTACATATATTGTCTCTTGCCTGTACCAGTATGGTATGCAGTTGTGCGAGAGTAAGTAAATAATACATTTTGAGAAGAATGTTTCATAAAACTAGGTCTGTACTTTCTTTTTGATGACAATTACGTTTTTCCCATAAATTTGGGAGAAAAAGTTAGATGTAATGTTATTAAACTTCCTGAGACATTCCAGAGGATTCTGGTTTATATGTGACTTGACATATGTTTCCAAATTGATGGATACAGCTGCCAATACTAGAAGATATCTTTTCTATTAGCAAAAATTAATTAATGTTTTTCCAAGACAAAATATTTTTAGTACTTTCATAACTGTAACAGATGGGTGCTAAAAGCTTAAGCAAATACCTGTGGCAGCTGGCTTCTTTTGTAAAACAGAACAGGTTGTTCCTTTTCTTCAGTAATTTTGAAATAGTCTCATCAGCTGCTTTTGGAGAATGTGTGCTAGTCATGTTGAGGATTGTGCTCTGATACTGAAGCAAACTTCTCTTGTTTAGGTCTCCTTTTACTCCAAATCCAAAAATACTTGTTACCTTCTGATTTCTATTATTTACCTAATCTACTGGCAATTTTGTAGATACCAACTCGGTATTATTTGGAGAAAATGAGACCTCCTGCAGTTAGATAATGAGCTGCCTCATAAAACACTGGAAAAGCTAACTGGGGATTTTTTTCTCCCTCTAAAGCTTCTGAATGTTTCATCAGTTAAGATGGGCATTAAGCACAGCATAACCAAAAATGTTCATAAACTCAGAGATAATTTGGATAAAGAATAATCTGCAGTTTGTCCAATACAGGCGAAAATGTGCCAGAAATGGGAGGGGAAAAGCTGGAGGGTTTTATTGTAGATTTTTATATCAAGTAAAACTGGGCAGAAGGAACCTCAGGCCATCACCCCCTCTGTTTCTAAACAGCAGGCATGATCAGCAGTACCTGAAACATTTCTTGTGCCCTGACACCATCTTCGCATAAAAGCCTATGTTATTTCTGTTTTTTAAAAATAATTATCTTGTTCCATCATTTTGAACAGACTTCCTGTTATTCAAGACCTTGCTGCAAATCTCTTGTCACTTCATATCAGTCAGACTGTGGGATTCCTCTTGGTTTGTACACTGGGGATTGAAATACTAGTAAGTATTTTATCCATATCTATTAACACAGTGCCTCATTGCTAGCATTTTACCTATTTGAGTAATTGTAAGTTTTATTAATGTGCTTGTTTTTCAGTCTTCTGTTGGATTATTTTTTTTACTTAGGTCTTCAGCTTTTTCTACCGCTCTGCGCTTACTATTGGTCTTCTTTTATTTGCTGGCTGGCCAGTGATCACACAGCTGTGGGTTCAAGCAAAGGTACTGTATTCCTTTGCCTTATAAAGAGCATTTTAAAAGGCTAACAGCTATTGGGACTGATCTCTTTGGAATGCTGCTTTAGATTCTTGTTCAGTTATGCTTCTATTCTGATCTCTGTCATGAGCAGCATGTAGCAAGGTGAGTTTAATATGATCTGGATAGATCTGTTATACAAAATAAGTAATAAGGCTGCCTAAGAATTTTGGGGTCGCTAGGAGTTAGCAGTTTTCTGTTAATGATAACTAAAAAATGCTTGCCTTAAAATCATATGAAGCACACATAATTTATCAAATTGTCGCAGTGACAGAAGTGTTGACATGCATGGTGCGTTGGTGAAAGTGCCAACATTTAAGTAATATGATCATTTATTGAAAAAAAATGTTGATGAAAACTGAAAAATGCTTGTCAATTCATTATTGTCTTCAGTAAGCTGACATGCATCATTCCTCAGAGGCAGCTTTCTGTTCTGTTTTCCCAGGAAAATACTTGACTTCTGTAGATACGCGTGTGAAGTGGCACAACCTTTAACATAAGACACATTTCTTCCATTAGTTTATTCAAACATCTCTTATTTCACAGGATACCTAAAACCTAGAGTTCTGGAATAACATTACCTATTTAATTAAAACAACAAGAAAATTGAGTAAAATTGCTATGTCTTGCTCTGCAAGAACTGTCAAGATGGAGGCTTGTATTTGTTTATTTACTGTTTTTTTAATTGTAATTCAGTAATCAAGTAAATTGTCTTAAAGCTGGATATACACAGATGTTTCGTAGCACTGAAAATTTCCTTTCAGGAACTTAAAGCTGACTAGAGCTTGAAACCCTTAAGTGATATAGCTAGCTCTTAATGTCTTTATTTAGAGTAAAATACCTGGCATAGGTTGGGTTTTTTTTCCTCCTAGCAAAGAATTTAGAGAACTGCTTAGGTGATTATGGTGGTTAAATCAAATTACATTCAGATTCAAAGACTGGAAAATGCTACCATATTACTAGAGAATAGCTTATTAGTTAGCTGCTTGCAAACTTCTGATGAGATTAGTTTTATTCCTTTCTTCCATAAGATTACTCATCAGCTTTCTAGGCTGCAGTGTGGTTGAAGGCCACACTTTGAGAAAGTGCTTTTAAGTATGAGCTTAGCATTAATTCATGTTGTCTTTGATAGGATTTTGACATCTGTGTAAATGAGATTCTTTTCTGTTTTAAATAGAACTACTATAATTCCAATGACCTTGTGCCCTTTTTTCAGTTAATTTTACTCTTGATAGATGCAGGGGGGGGTTGCCTGTGGGAGATGCTAGTAGCTGTTAGTTCAGTATTTTTTTCTGATTAGACAGTTGCCTGTCCATGTGACCTCCAAAAAATCCCATTTGTTTTCCATTTTTTTAGACAACAACATTGATCTGGATTCTTCTGTGTGTGCTCCTGGCAGTATTTCCTTTAATGCCTGTTGTAGGAAGAGAACCAAACATTCCTCTCGTGTAAGAATCTTATGTTGTTCTTTAAACTTTTTATTTCCCTCTTTGATATTCAAAATTTAGGCGGACTTTTGATATATGTGAGGAATTGTATTATTGAAAGTTGGCTGAGACAAGTATTGAAATTCAGAATTTAAATAGCATGATTATAGAGTCCTCAGTTATTCACTAATGTGAATGAAAATAGATTTTTAATTCTTTTGACACATCCATTTGCTTTTTGCCTTATTCTCTAATTTCTTGTCGAGGGAAACATTTCTCACAATACAAAAATTTGCAAACTTTACATGAAAATAAAAGCCATCATTAAAGGAGGACTGTCACTGCGGTGCAAACATGGTAAATAGCACTGACGTATGTGAATAAGAACATTTATTCAAAAGCAGTTTACTTTAACAGCATCTTTCTGAAATACTCCATCTAATTTTGAATAATCTGTCTTTGAATAGCACTCTGTACTTAATGATATATTCAGGGAAACAGAACATACAGGACAGGCAGAGATCTTGTCTTCCTCTGTTTCTCCCTTGTCTCTTCTTTTTCCACTTCTGCTTATCTGTTCTTCATTTTCTTTTCTGATGTTGCTTGTCTTATTTTCTACAGTTGTTGATTTGCATTTTTTGTACTTCATCTTTGTCATCTGTCCTTCTCCTCTCGTGAGCTAGTCTTTCATCATACAAACATTCTGTCATATCTGGATGCAATCCAGGTGGTTGGCCTGCAGGTGTTAGGCTTGTGGTATCATTGTAGTTACTGCAGAGAGAAGCTTGAACTGACCCGGGCTGCAACAGCTCCTTCTGCTGTGTGACAGAAGGTACTGTGCCCCATCAGAGTCAGAGTGCCTGATCCTTGTTAAATTATTCGGTTTGAGCAGTAATGTATGATTGCAGGTAGAATTATAAGCCCAGATATTTCTAAAATTATTGACATTCTCCCTCAATATTTTTCACTGTGATTTAAATCTTATCTGTTGAAAACCCTTCTTAGTCTTGATGCTTGGGCACTGTTGGAAATATTCAAGATAGATTTGCTTTGGCTGTATTACAACCTCTCAGCTGTATATACACATGTATATATTTCTGCTGGTCCAAACTGAGGTTTTTTATTCCTTAGAACATTTAAGCACAGCTTAGAAATCAAAATGGAATTAAATTACTTTCAGATCTTCTTCCCTGACACCTCTTTATATTCACCTTACCCAGGTGGTACATCTTCCTATTTGTTCTTCTAATGAAACATTGTACCTCTGAAACAGTTTGCACCTGTATGAATCTTATGAAGGGAGTTTTGAAGCAAGCAACAATTAAAAATATATATGTATATGACACTTCAGTGTATTGAAGATAAGGAGATGCTGGGAGAGAAGATACAAGAGAAAGAAATAAGGGTGCTGGTGAGAAATAGGTGCATTTCTTAAATCTGTTCCTGAGCAATGACACTGTATGTCAGGTCAGGGCTTCTTCAGTAGTTTAATAAAACTTGTATGGTATATACAGGGAGCTCCTGATTCAACTCAGTCATAAAAAGGATGCATAGAGGAGGTGAAAGCAGGGTCAGGTGCCTCAGGAAGAACGTAGAGATGCTGTCAGAATATGCAGGATAGGTTAGGAAAGCCAAAGCTCTCATGGAATCAAATCTGGTGAGATGTAAAGTGAAACAAGACACAAGACAGCATACAGCAGAAAAAGGAAGACTAGGGAAAATATGGCCCTGCTGCTGATTGGGATGGGGACCTGGTGATAAATGGCATGGAGAAATCTGAGGCCTTCCTTTGCCTCTATCTTTACTGGTAGGACTGACTATCAGAAACCCCAGCCTTCAGACTGCTGAGACCTGTGGGAAAGACTGGAGCAATGAAGACAACCTTAGTGGAAGAGGATCAGGTTAGGGAATGCTTCCAACAAGTTGGACATGCATGAGTCTATGGGCCCTGATGGGATACACCTGAAAGAGCTGAGGGAGCTGGCCAATGTCACTGTGATAATCTTTGAAGAGTTGTGGCAATGGCTGGTGGGAGAGGTTTCTGAGGACTGGAAGAAAACAGATGTTCTCGCTGCTATCTTCAGAGAAGGGCAAGTGGAGGATCCAGGGGACTACAGGCTGGTCAGCCTCCCCTCAATCCCTGAAAAGGTACTGGAGCAACTAATTGGGAAACAAACCTTTTATAAACATGTGAAGGACGAGGAGGTGACTGGGAGTAGTCAGCATGAATTTATGAAGGGGGAATTATGCTTGACGAACCTGTTAGCCTTTTAAGATGAAAAGACTGTCTCAGTGACAATTGGAGAGCAGTGCATGTTGTTTATTTTGACACTAGATCAGTGGACAGTGAGGTGGACTGGAAGCAGGCTTACCTGTCAAGTTCAAAGGATTGTGATCAGCAGCACAAAGTCCAGCTGGATGCCAGTCACTAGTGGTGTACTGGGGCCAATACTGTTTTAACATCTTCATTAGTGACCTATGTGATAGGACAGAATTCACTCTCAACAAATTTGTACTTGTTTGTCTCCTCAACAAAACTGGGAGAATTGGTTGATGCAACGGATGGATGTGCTGCCCTTCAAAGGAACCGCAACAGGCGGAGAAATGGGCAGACAGGAAGCTTGTGAAATTCAAAAATGGGAAGTGCAAAATCCTGCATCTGAGCAGAAATAATTTCCATGCACCAGGATAGGCTGGGACCAACTGGTTTAATCATGAGCCAACAATGTGCCCCTTGCAGGAAAGCCAGTGGTATCCTTGGCATCATCAGGATGATGATGAGGAAGGTGATTATTTCTCTCTACTCAGCCTTGACGAGATGCATCTGAAAGTGCTGTGTCCACTTACGGTCTCTCTGGAAAGAGAGATGTGGACATACTGGACCAGGTCCAGAGAATAATCATTAAAATGAGTAGGGTATTAGAGCATCTGTCACAGGAGAGTGAGCAAGAGCTGGGACTGCTTATCCTGGAGGAGAGATTGAGTGAGTTGGAACTGGTTATTCTGGAGAAGACTCGGGAGGATTTTATCAAAGTATGTAAATACCTGTCTGGGGGGTATATAAAGACGACAGACAAATTCTTCTCAGCATCCAGTGAAGCAAAAAGAAATGGGCAAAAGTTCAGATACAGAAAATTCCATTTAAACATAAGAAAAAAGCTTTTTTATGCTGTGAGAGGTCAAGCATTTGAACAGGTTCCCCGGAGAGGTAGTGGAGTCTCCATCAGGAGAAGTATTCAACGCCCAGCTAGACATGGCCTTGAGCAGCCTGCTGTAGTTGGCACTGCTTTGAGTAGGGAGTTGGACTGGACTGATCTCCAGAGATAGCTTCCAACTTCCATTCTGTGAGTGAGTAGCCAGCAACTGTGTTCCTGTACTGATTAGATCATTACTTGAAAATTGCTATGGAGATATGCCTGTGTAGACTGATTTTACTGAGTATGTGAGGTATTTGTACATTTTTGTGTTATGCCTGAGAAAACACAGTGAGTGGAGAAATCACAAATGGGCATTTTTGTCAGTAGTCTCTCAGTCGAGTTGCCAAGGGACAAGTAGAAGCAAGGACTGTGTGGTTTGACTACTTCCATATCAAGGTTGTAGCATGACAGAGAAATACATGCAAAACTTCTACTGCCTTTACAGTTCCTCTGCTTGTGTGGTGATGGAGACAGTTGGAGGTGATATTAGTATTGATCTTTTAGTGAATCATGTCTATTATTTTGAAACAGCGTCATAATTAGCAGATTTATTCAATGTCAAGCAGTATTTTTTCTCTGTGTTTACTTGATGAATGACAATCTTCCTGTTAGTCTTGCTGTTGCATTTAAACAAAGCTATACATTTGATAGTAATGGTGGTGTAATTACCCTGTTAGATGATGAACATGACAAACCTTGAAACCACCAAGTTGAGATCATCAATCACTGTTACCATTGTGTTCAAATTATTCGGATGTAGTCGGAAGTACCTAAAATAGTGGATAACAGATCAGACATGTGGCCAAAATGCAGATTTTTTTTGACACTGCCATGGAAAAGGCATGACTGTATTTGTGGATGGCAAGCTTGTATTAAAAACAGAGCAAAACAAAACAAAAACACCAAACCACACTTGATTCTAGGTTGGATTTGGGGGTTTTTTAAAGTTGGGTGTTGAAATTTCCTCAACATACTAAGTCTGGATACTGTAGTGAATTATTTCATCTTAGTGAAGAACACTTTTATGAAAATTTCCTGAACCTTTTGATGATATTTCCTGGGAATTTATTGTTCTTTTTTTTTCATTTTACAGAATAGCAGCTGGTTTGCTGACTCTCTTGATCTCTTGCTTCTCGTTGGCATCTCCCTGTAACAGCAAAAATAAGTACAGAAATAATGAAGATCTGAAAGTACATTTTTATCAGGTCAGTTGCCACTTCTCAGTAATTCTGAATGTTAGAGGGTTTTTACATGGAAATTTTTACATAATTTCTAAGAACATTTTCCTACCAAGGCCACAATATTCAAGAAAGAAATTATTGTTCCTGAGTGTTCTCCTTGACTATTTCAAGAGGACCATGGACTCATGGTAATATGCTTTTTTAAATATCATAATGCTGTGTTCTCAAAAGCTCATCCTATGCGTATCTATGTGTATTGATACAAAGATACACATACACATTTTGATGCCCTACTCGGTGAGTTAGAGAGTTTGTCCTGCCTGCAGTCTGTGTATGTAACTTCCAGTGACCTTTGCAGGAATTGCACACGTACCCTAAGGACAGGCTTGCTGGTTCAGGGGGTTCTTTCCAGTTTCTGGTTGTTGAATAACAATGTGAGACTGATACTGAGCTGGTTTTTTTTCTTTATACCTTCATGAAATAGGTAGATCTTTTCTTAGTAGGTGCTAATTAAGTTCTAGAGAGCTTTTAAGATTCTAATAATACCTTGCATGTCTGCTGTCGTGTTTTGGGGTTTTTTTAACTTATTACAAGATAATGGTTTTATTTCAGGAGCAGTTTTATTGGTTATGACTTATTATGTGCTGGAGTTTCTTACTGAGCTAAGCAATGCATTCATTGTATCAGTGATATAGGAATAGAGCTCGAATTGTTTAAAAGGAGGAGAGGAAAGAATAATGAATGCTTAAAAGGCCTTTACCTGAGCATGCACACATCTATAATGTAGCGGTGTTTTCACTTTTCCAGTTCACATGTGGAAAAGAGATAATCAGTTCCTTCCCTAAGCGTTTAGGACAGATATTTCCAGTATATACTCAGCAGTGGATTTCTCCATTCAGTGCCTGAAAACAACTTGCACTGGATGGAGGAGTGAGAGAGCAGCCAGCTGGGCATCTGGCAGCCAGCTGACACCAACTCACCATACAACTGCTGGAGCACCTCACATGGTGTAACTTTGTGGAGAAACTCACAAATGATGATGATGATGATGATGAAATAGATCTGTAGTCAGAAAGTAATGCCAGGCTACTGTTGAGCTAACTAGAGAATCAGGAAATTCACTCACAGTCCTGAGATACTTAATTAGATGAAAATGTTCGACCTGCTTTTTCAGGGAGTAACATCTTCATTTTTCTCCAAACCCCTTTAAGAATATCATGAAGATCCTTAAATGGCTCCTTAATCAGAAGATATTTTACAATAGTGACATCTAATTACTAGTCTCTCTAAGATTTTTGTTTCAGAATCTTACTTGGGATCCACCATTCACACTCTGGGTAAGGAAAGGACTGGGAGTGTAGATTATTCAGATCTAGAGGGGGAGAAGGATATTACAGAGGCACTACACATGTTTCTAAATTAATAACTTGTTTTGAGGTTAGATTGTGTTTAGTTGCTTTGAAGTGTACAGGAATACAAAGGAAAACATTTGTTGGAAGACTGATATTTCTAGGCAACATAATTCCCTTGTTCTGCTTTTACTTTTGAGTTGGAGTTTTCAGTGGGGACAGGCAAAGGAGTAATCTTCAAAAATGCTGATTTGGAGCATTTTGAACACATGAGTTTAGAGTTACAACTCCTGAGCAGTTTTAAGCATGAGATGAATTGTTTAATCGGATGAAACATATATATTTTGCAATGACAGACAGTGATCATGACACTGACATTCGTATACATAAGCACACACAATCAGGTTCCTGCTTTGTATATCTGACAAGGGGTTTCTTAAATAGTTTTTGTATCTCATATGTGGTGTTTGGAGGCAGTCACTGACGGTTATGCTTTCCTCTGATAACATTGTTCCTTCCTAGACAGGAAACTCAGATTGGTTGTTTGATGTTTCTTCATTTTGGGGAATGAGAAGATAAATTTATTTGCTACAGGTGTTTCTTCTTTGTGTGCCGCTTTTCTACAAGTATTGACTGAAGTGGAAGGGAAAATATGGCGTTCCTTCCTCATACACTTTATAGTTTATCTTGGGAATTCCCTTAGCCACTCTGCTAATGTCTTTTATTGGTTCAGCTCTGACTAAAGCCTTTAAATTACACAATGGAGAAGGAATAGCTGGTGTTTCTAGGTTTTCTTCTTTTAGCAAAAAGCCTACTGATCTGGCCAAACTTCTCTGATCAGGATCCCAACTCTCTTATTTCCTTTTGATTCCTTTTCCTCTTTGTTTTGGTAGTGTCTGTTCAAGAAACTTTTTTAAATCTTTCATTTCACCTCACCTCAAATTTTTGCATCTGCTTATTTGGGATGAGATCCATTTTCATATAAGAAATAAGATAATATTTCCCAAGGGTTTGAGTAGTTTTTATTTGCCTGAGTTGTTCTTCACAAGTTGATTTGGGATTACATCTGAATAAAGAGACTTCCCTTTTCAGTTCTCCTCCTGCTTCAGAGAGAAAGAGGGATTCAACATAGCCTAGTCTTTTTGTTGTGCTTATGGTTAATTTTTTTTCTTTTCTGAAGACAACTTTCTTCTTTCTTCTCTAAGTGAGCTTCATCTTCCATCTGGGAATTAGCCTGTAGTGAAGATATCATGCCTGTTAGCAAACAAAGCTTGTTCCATTACATTCATTGCTCTCCTTATGGTCAAAAAGAAATCTGAGTTGGCAGAGACCATCAGTTTGTGTGTAGTCTTCCACAGAAGAGATAATTCCCTGAACTATGTATTTTTGTGTTGGTTTCTCCACGGATGGGACAGAGTGTACACCTTAGCAAATTAGTATGAACTACATACCTGTATGGGTTAGAGAGGCCATTTACAGGCCTGTCATTTATTCACTGGGTTTTGTACCTACATGCTGTAGATTTCCGACATGGGTATTAGCCTTAAAGAAACAAAAGAGTCACAGACAACAAAACAGCATGATCAAAGAAAGTTTTCAGCAAAAGCGAATCAATACAGAAATTTTAAAATGTAAAAATACAAGCTTGAGTAACTTCATATGGCTACATTTACACTTCTGTTACAAAAACTTCAGTTATGTTTAGACCTAATTTTGAAGTTTTGGTATATGTCACTGTTTGGGTCAGAAGATACTAATTACACCCTCACAGTTTCTAAAAATTGCCAAGAGTTTCTCAGGTTTTCTCTTGATATTGTTAAACCAGGAATATTTTTTTTGCTGTATTTTATTTGCTGTGTCTTTTGGTAATGCTACTTCTGTCTTCTGATGAGGTGGGTGTCAGTCTCTTTTCCCAAGTAGCAAGTGATAGGCCAAGAGGAAATGGCCTCAAGTTGCACCAGGGGAGGTTTAGATTGGATGTTAGGAAAAATTTCTTCATCCACGGGGTTATCAAGCATTGGAACAGGCTGACCTGGGAAGTGGTTGAGTCAGCATCCCTGCAAGTATTTAAAATCTGTGTACATGTGGTGCTTAGGGTCATGGTTTAGCGTTGGAATTGGCAGTGTTAGGCTAATGGTTGGACTCAATCTTCAGGGTCTTTTCCAACCTAAATGATTGAGTGATCTTTGAGAAGTCACTAAGACCAGGAATGGTGAAAACAGGACTATTTATAATCTATCAGCTAGACTACTACAGTGGTTACTGTACAACTTAATTTTTTTTTGCTGTAGAGAATACCAGTTTCTCTTTGCCAGTGGTTTCATAGGTGGAGCCCAGTTTTTGATTCACTGCCAAAAACACTGCTGTTTCCATTGCTTGATAATATTGGGCTACGTTATCATTCTAGGAGGCTTGAATTTCACGTGGGTCCAAGGTGGTCAGATTATTAGTTTTCTTTAAATTAGGAGGAGAAATAAATGGTAGGAATCCATGTTATATTGGTGGAACTTGGGGACAGGAGGAGTGTTTTCAACTAGTCTTGTACAGTGTCCAGCTGATGGTATTGGTTCTCCTACATTCCCTCTATGAATTGTTATCATGTTAGATACCTAGAGATCCCAGAGCTGCTGGTGAAGGTGTTGGGACTGCAGATATCACCCTTAATTTCCTCTTTCGAGCTGCAACCTGTGGATGATTGTTTCTCAGAGGCCTACTCTCAAGCCATTCAAGAATAATCTCTGAACTTCAAGGAAGGTTGTGAAGGTGGAAAGAAGACAGATTCTTAGCTTTAGACCTCAGTTTGTGTCTCCAAGTTGCTTCTGTGCTGTTCCACAGTCCTGGAGGTGCTGGTGAAAGCTGAGAGCAGTTTGAACATTACTTAAACTGTTAACACAGGAGTCTCAAAAGCAGATGCTGAGCCCTTCCCTAGACACTGGGATAGATCTAGCAGCAGTAAATTGGGTTTACTAACGTGCCCAGGTCATCACAAGTCTTCCAAGGCACAAGATACATTATGGGATATGACACAAAGTGAGTGCAAAATGACTTCACAAATAGCTAGGGGCTAGCAGAGGGATTACCAGAGCTCATGACACTAAAAGAAGTTGAAAAGATATATCAAAGGGGAGAGATCTGGCCTGAATACAGCAAAAGCATCACAAATAAACATCAGAGGTCTGAAGGGGCCAATTCCCTGAGCTTTTGGAGGGTTAATGCTTTGACCTAGTTTATTGATTTCACACAGCAATGCAAGTTACATGTTCCTGTGGCCTGAAATGAAATAGAAGCAGCAGATACTGAGCACCGATAAAACCAGGCCAAAAAAGGATGCTGATGCCAAGTGTATCCTCTGTAGGTACCACTCTAGCTATCACTGTGTCTGGCAGGAGAATGGCAGCTATTCATATGGTAAAAAGTGATGGATGTGAACACTGCATAGTTGCTTCGCACTAAAAAAGCCACAACAGCAATTATATCTTGTAATGCAGTTCAAAAACACATGTTTGCAAAGTACTGTGCATGCTTGATTTGCCTTTTAGTGGAACTGTGGAGTTGTGAATAAATAGCAGTAATTGAAAGCTTGGCTCAAGCGTTTTCTTGGATAATTGTCATCTTTCAAAAATAACTGACTCATGGGGCAATTTTCCTAAGGACTTTTGCACCTACTTGATTGACTCAGTGGTGTCTCTCAAATTAGTCAAGAAAAAATCCCTTTTCAGCTTCACTGCTTCTCCAAGGCAGAAGGCTCCGCTTGAGGTGGTTCGGACAGTTTTGTTTTAACAGTCTGCTAGGATTGCAGCTTCTTTCCATCTTTTAAATCCACCTCCATTCTGCTGTGTTGCTGCTGTCTCTTCTTACAGGAGCTGCACTGCCCATGCAAAGCTCTTTCCTTAACTGGCCTTCCCTTGCACCCTGTACCTGATCCTGCAACAAAGCCAGATCTTCTGCTAGTTCTTTATGGATGCTATTTGAGGACAAGTGTCCCTTAAAAAAATGGGGGCATATATTTTCTGTGGTTTGCATGAGTGTTTAAGGAGTTACTCTTGACAATGGGCATATCATGTCAAATCAGTGATTCAGGCCACTTGTTTAAACTATTTTAAAATAGCACAAATAAATAATAAGAATAAAAAAAAATAGAAGGAAGCTTTAAAAAGCAGGCTTCCTGTTCTGATGATGATTCAGATGAGGTGTTTATGCAGCTCTAAAGTATATTTACGTATTTAGTATGGGATGGCAGAGATCCATGCGTTAATTATGTGTTTGTCTGATTTCTTCATTCTAGATGTTGAGTGTTACACTTTCAACATATGTTGTGAGCAGTACCCATGACAGTCTCAAGAACAAACAAGGACTGCCCATATTAAATCAAATTATTAGCTGGATGACTCTAGGTAAGAACATGTTTCCTCCCAAACATGTATGCTGATAGTTTGTGAGGTTTGGGTGTGGGGGCGGTGACACTTTTTTATTAATATCTTTCTTTTGCACATATTCCATTATTTGACTCCTAAGAGTTCTTCCTTGTGTTCACTATTATTTCCTAAGTGAGGGTTTTAGAGGAATGTCTTCTGAAGTATTACTGCTTTGTAGGTTTATAGTCAAATGCAAACAACTTTGATTCACAAGTAACTTTATTTTTTGTTTTGAATATTCTGAATATCTTGAAGACCCCTTTTAGGGGTATAATGGTATAAACTCCCTTTTTGTTTCACTTGGAGCCAGATGAGGGTGATCTAAGATGTTCTGCAAGCAATTCGGTTAAGCATAGGGAAGTGAGAAAAGGCACTTGCTGTATTTCAGCAAGTTGCAGAACTTGCTGTATTTCAGCAAGTTGCAACTAGAAACAGAAGTTGCAGCTGACAGCGGAGACCCTTAGGGTATGAAAGTCCTTTTCAGAGCTGCCTTGCAAGATACCTGTGAACTAATGATGCTAAAGTATGTTTGATATCTGTTAGAACCTAATTATTAAAGAAAAAAAAAACAATTTACAAGTCGATGGATTTTTCATCACTCTAAAATTTTAATTTTGGGATGATTAAAGAGAGCAAATGTAATTATCACTGGGGTTGTGGAATACAATAAAGCAGTACCTTTCGTATTTGAGCTATAAAGTAATTTCTGTAGGGCTCTATTAGAAAACGTTAAGCATTGTTAATCCCCAAGTGATTCGGGATGTGGGATTTGGTTTAGAACTAAACATATCCCATAGCAGCTCTTAAGCAAGATCAGGAATTTAAACATAGATTAACAGAAGAATTATGACTCTTGCTATCTAGATGCTGGATGTCTTGTACTGGTGACGTTGTTTTATCTTAAGCAGATCTTGTCAGTTTTAGCAGTCCTGCTTCTGTTTGAGCAAATGGACTCACAATTAATACAACTGATTGTGATCAGTGTGTGTGAGGAATGCTCTCTTTGTAAGGTAATTTTCTTTGGAGCATTTTTCTTTTCATCATGCTTTCCTAACTCTTCATAGCGTGCTAAGCTAAGTGGGGATCTCTGTGTGGATTAATTCGTTGCAGTTGTAAACTCAATGCAATCAGTGATGTCCTGTTTGGCTTACTGGAGCAGGAATTGAGGGTAGAGGTTATCTTTCTCTCCCGTGTAAGGGTGAGACAAAAACATTTTTCATCTAAGAGGTGATTTGGACAGTCAGAGAGGTCTAGAGTTATGAGGAAAAAGTATATTAGAAATTCTCTTTGCTGTGTGTGATGCTTCTATGATAAAAATCTAACTGTGAATAAACTGTATGTACCCAAAAAGTCTACTTGCTGCCACGGCAATATTGAATATTTTAGCAAAGTCTTTCAGACTGGAAGTAATCATTTTAAGTGAATATGATATACAAGGTAGGAGCTCTATGTGCTTTCTAAAGTTGCTCTGCATAATTAAACACAGAACCAAGCAGATAAAAAGCTACGGCATCCGACAACAGGTCCTCAATACTCCTGTTGGAGAGAAATGCCTTGTCACCACCATAACCACAACTAGCATCTGCCTTGTTACTAATGTGTACCACAGATGTGGCTCTGTAAGAATTAAGGTGCCAAGGTCTACTGTGGCTTTTCAGAGTTAGTGACGTTATAGGTGGTCAGACTCCTCTTCATCTTTTTGCTTAGTTGGGGAAGAATGGCACATTACTTACTGAACTCTCATTTTGCACCTCTGTGTGTATTTATATAACCTGAAACACAGTTATCAGTTTATTCATAATAATACTGATATGATTATTATTATTATTATCATGTCAGTGTGATAATGAGACAGGCCTGTGTCCAGCTGGCTTTAGCTGTTAACACTCTATGGTTCATGCAGTTACACAGAGGTAAAACCAGAAGGCATAAAGTTAATTAGCTGTTTCCCATGTTCTCCAGAACCATCTTTATGTTAACAGATATCTTTAAATTCATGTATATTCTATTTTAAAGTTTTCATCAGTGAAATCTATCATAGCAACTTGCTAAATTTTGAGGAATTTGGTGTCAGAACTGTGTGCAGGGGGGACATACAGAGATTTGTATAGGTCATCCAGAAACCTGCAGGTCTTTTGATGGTTAATATCTGTTGTGTTGCATCAGAGATGGAAGGGAAAGGCTAATTATCACCCACCAGTCACTCATCTGTTCTACTCTGTGATTGCGCTCAGAGTGTGATACATATCTGATATGTTGAGTGTCATTCACAGAGGCTAGTTCCCACACTGAATTTCTTTCCAGCTGTTCTTATTTGCAGTGAGGTCCCTGGAGTTCCTCCCTGACTCAGGCCTTCTTTAAGTATAGAAAACTACAAGTGATGCTAAAGGACTGGAGCACCCTTGAATTGAAGTCACTTATTCTATAATTACAGCAGTGGCCAAAGCTAAAAGCCAGGAAATAAAACATACTGACCCACAGGTTTCAGAGACAGCCTCATCTCGCTTTCATTGATACGTTTACTATAAATTCTAATGTATACTATGACAAGAAGCACAGGCGAGAACTTTCCATATATTATAGTTTTATTTCTGTTCCTTAATAAAGTGATTATTAATTAAGACTTACTGTTGATGTAGTCTTTGAGTCAGTAATATGAAGGCATTATACCACAATGAAGAATCACGCCAGTGTTATTTGTCAGTGCACTTCTTTATTAAGCACATAAAATTTTCATTTAAAAAAAAATCAGGTTTAAAGATTAAATAACAGCAATGCTTTTCCTTCTTCCCCTCCTTCCTTCAAGCACCGGCTACTTTTCCTCTGCTTTGCTTCCTCTTTACTCAATCTTCCAATAGTCCATTTCCTCTCTTCCCAGTTTTCCTCACCTCCTGCAAACTGTTGGGCGCTGTCCTCACTTGAAGAAGTTTCCTGGCTAGAGGAGCCTCTGTAGGGGTATCATGGACTCTGCTAAGCTGACTGGGCAGCTGGGCAGTGGACTGCACTAAGGAGTGACATGCAACTCTTAAGATCCCACACCTGCATTGGAGAAATGCATTACAAGTTTAAAGCAAGAGGCATCAATCATATGACAGATAGGTCCCCTGTAGTTCCTTAAATCTTCCTGGTTTAAAACTTTCAAGTGGAGAAACTAGTTTCTGTATCTTTACTACCAGTATTTTCAGTTGCACTTCAAAATGTGGCAGGTTTCCTAATCTAATCCAGTGGAGCAATGGCTCTGTAACTGCAGTCTTTTCACTTCCAGAGGTCCTTGGGGCCATGGTAACTGGTTCTCAGGGTAGTATTAAGGAGTCAAGTTTGACTTTTTGAGAGTGATGCTTCTGCATCATATTAAGGACTTATTAACATCAGTTCATGAGAAATTACAAAGGCTGTGAGGTAGAAAACCAGGGAATTAAAATGTTAGAGAACTAAAATTACTTTTGAGTAATACTAAGCATTCCAAACATTAGGTTTTCTTTAGCAAAAATAACTTCTGAAAATGGAAGGGCATATATGAGCAGTATTGAATTTCTGTACATGAAGTGTCAAGATTTGAAGAGTGTTATCTTGTTACCAAGGATAAAATGTTTTGCATATAGTGACTGACAGATCTCTTTTATTGCAGTTTCTTCCTCCGTGTTGCCATTACTGAGCCCCACGTTCCTCTTCCAGCGACTGTTCAGCATATTGCTCTCCCTGATGTCCACCTACCTGCTCCTCAGCACAGGGTACTTCTTTATTACTGTATTTGGATCAGTCTTGCATATGAAAATCAAGGGCTAAATGTGAAAATGCTGAATCTCATGAACTTTTCTGTTAAAGGTGCAATGTGCGCTTCCAGCTGTAGTCTCACCATTTATGTGTCCTCCTTTAGTTTCCTAAATAAGTTTCAGGGGAACTTCCATATTCCTCCTTGTATTATAAATACAGTTTTGTTGATATTCCTTTCAGCTAGACCAAGCAGTGGCTGGAAGGGTATGTATTTAAACAATCTTGCACCAAAATAAGAATGTCTGGTTGGGTTTGTCTTTTGTTGTTTTGGCATCTGCTTTTCTGCATGCAAACAGAAAGAAATAACTTCTCTCCCAGATGCTCACCACTTGTGTATTTATGGCTTAAATAACGTGCAACAGGAAACAAGTAGCCCTTGGCTGAGAGAAAATTTTATTCAGTGAGATTTTCATGGAAGTATCTTTTTTTCAAAGGGATGCTAAGTCCCCACAAAGAGTAGGGCTTGCTTCTTTTTGAATAAAAGACAACTCTTCAGAGCTTGTAAATGAAGAAAACACTGTGTCAGCCAACATTTTTTCTTCCAGACTCAGTAGCTTTTAAGAGCATAATTAATGGGGAGTATAGGAACCATTCTTTCTGCCTCCCTTCCCACTTATCCTCTGGATTTAGTTACACTGGAAGATTAAGTGAAATAAAATATCTTCCAGCAGATATTTTGCAATAGTTGCCTCTTGTGGATAACCTCAATTTAGATGGAGCTTTTTTTTTTCCCCCCTCTCTAATCTCCTGCCTCCCCTTCCTCCCACTTCCCCTTTAAGATTTTGATCTTAATCTTACTCCTGTCTGAACACACACTTTTACACTCAACCTTCTTAGCCCATCCTGGCTACTGGATAAAGCATGAATGTTGTTCTCTCTGAGGCTGGTAACCTCCCTCTTTGTGTTTTGGTTCTACACCAGACCACTTAAACACTGACAGCTCTCTGCTGTCTTCATACAATGTTCAAATAGATGAACAAATTTTGAAACAATTCTTTTTTAAAAAAAAACAACACCAAACAACTCCAAAACAACCCATCATAGCAAAACCAAGTCACTCAGTGCCAAAGGAATACATTCTTTCTCTCCTCAGGGCTGTGTTATACCATGTAATGATAACCCAGCACATAGCCCAGGTAATTACAGCACCTTTCTAGATGCAGTTAAGTGGGAGTATTGAAGCCAGCTGAAGAGCATGGTTGCATACAACCAGTTGTCACTGACTCAGTTGAAGATACTCAATTTGTAGACGAGTGTAGACTATTGTGTTGATTGTAGGTACTTTTGTTACTGACAACCTAACTGTTGTTTTCTTCATGTTTAACTGCTTGTCATTCTGACAATTAAAGCAGAAATGTCTATCCAAAATTTTGTTCTAGTTTGAAACTGCTTTGTAGCTACACAAGTGGGGAGGCACATCAGAAACAATACCAAGATTAACTGCCATGGTTTTTTTTATTTTTCGACAAATACATGTGTGTCCCAGGAGGAAAAAATATAAAACTGAAAAAATTTACAGTCTTGTCAGTATTAGTGTCAGTATTGTAATTTTATCCTGAAAGAAAAAAAAACCTGAGGCACCATGAAATGCAACTGACATGTAGAAGGCAAGGAGAAACTAATATTATCCAATAGCAGTCTACACCCATAAATTATCTGGGTGTTTTAATCTCTCATGTAAGTACACTCATTGTTTGCTATGTTTGAGTGTTGTAGGAGCCAGCAGTACTCCTCTGAGATTAGGAGGGTGTAGATAGAAGACCTTAGCAGCCTTGGTTAGAGTGTGACGTCACGCTGCTATTGTGATGGATTGGTATATAGTAAAGTACATTTCACTTCAGTGAAATGTAATACTGTTTTTATTATAAAGATGCTTCTTTCCTTGAAGGTAGACTGAGATCACCAGAATGAGTTTGTGTGATCAGGTCCTAAAGAGACGCAATCTCTAATTGCTGTCTAGGTTGGACTGTAACCCCTCAGTTCCAAATAGCTCTCATTACAAAATTTTCCATTGTGCAGAAAATGGGTGCCAGATGTGTTTCTTTTTTTCCCCTCTTTCTTTGAAATTTTATTCCAGTTTTGTTAAAATTAATCATGTCACAAAGGGCAATCATCCAATGTTGTGGCAGCCATCGGATGAGAAAATGGGTGCAAAGTATGACAATGCTGAAGCAGCTTCTGTTTCTCCTACTTCTACCATTAATTACTGTGTGGCTTTAAACTTCAACCAGTCAACTGTGGGTGCTCCTCAAAAATGGGGAGAGAAGGGGGAAAATGCCACTAGGTGTTTGGTATATCATTTGTGTGAAGAAAAAAGAAAAGAAACATGTCAGTATTTGATGTTAAGTAGTTGTTAGTGGCTGCAAGTACTGTGATTATTATGTTACTCTTCAGGTATGAAGCTCTGTTTCCACTGGTGCTGTCTGGTTTGATGTTTGTGTGGATAAGTATGGAGCAAGAAGCACTGCAGCATTATGGTCTTTCACTCAAACCAAAGGTAACAGCATCAGATAGCTATAGCACGTTAATTAACTGTTTTATCTTTCCTTTTCCTTGAGAATATAATAAATATTATTAATGGTTTCATAGAGCAACACTTTGCATTTCTAAGTTTGGGAAGCCAGTATCAGCTGTTTTATGAAATGAGAGTGTGACCTTGTAGGAGAGATTTATAATTTATGTTATTGAAGATATTCTACACCAGAGCCATTTCTAGGAAGGTAGGAAATCAGTTTGACTTAGTGGTACATTATGTAGGCTACGAAAGCTCTGTTTATCAAGCCTAGTGCTAATTCGGCATAAGGTACAGTAGCTCTTTATATATAATGTCACTGTACTTTTTTTATTCTGATGGCAGGGTTATGAGTGCGAGACTGAATTGTTTCCTGAAATGACCCACATGAAATTCCAGAAATCTTAGTTTGACTTTGTCCTTCTACTCTTTCTTCAAAGAACAGTTTTATTTCTGATTAGGCAGACAGGGAGCTGGAGACTGACTTGGATATACCACCTCCTTAGATTTGCCTGGAGAAGAGGGAGTTATGTAACCAGTGCAACTTCCTTCACCTTAAAATTTAATATATTGTCAGCAAATTTCAAAGCCCATGCTGCTCACGCTGCTATTTAGCTTTTAGATTAGGTCAAGGGTTAAACAAACTGTGGCTACGCTGTTGATTTGGTTAGATTTGAAGTGCCAGTTGCAGAGTCATCTGGGTGCTTGAAGCCAGGTAGGTGTGCAGCACAGTTCTCTCCCACTCTCCGAAATATGCTGTCCTTGGTGCAGGTCACAGGGAACCTGGGTACATATGCATGGGAGTGGCCAGAGTCACTTGTAAGACAAATGGCAGTACACATCTTTCCTTCCTTTTGCAGCTCATAATAATTAGGGAGAGGTGCCGGGAGGTGAGATCTGGGCGAAGGCAGTCACCACAGTGGACCTGGCACATACTGTGGTTTTGTGGTTCTCCTGCAAGGGAGACAGTTTTAAAACTTGAGAGAGATCACGTTTTTCCAATTCAAGGCCGAATACCAGAAATGAAAACAGGAATTGCTTTTTATTTATGCTATATGTGATATTTTGTGTGAGCATGTTTTGTAGTGTCTTAAGTGATAGAGAAGGAATCTGTATGTAAAAATGTACACTTAGTGCGAGGCTGTGATTGCAACCAGAGGTTTCTAGCACAGCATAGTCATCTGTGGGATGTACTTTCTCTTCTACTCTAGAACCTTGTCTACCTTTTTCATCTTGTTACAAGTCATCTGTGATACCTGCCTGTCTGATGGTGATCTGATGTTATGTTGGTTTTAAAATAAAATTCTATTAAAGCAACATTAAACAGTGATGAACACTCCATTAATAAAAGGCAAATGAAAAGAACATAGGTAAACTGTAATTAAGTTTTCTGTTGTCACTCTCTGTATGTCACTTGACTTTTGGTTTCGGGTGGAAGGAACAATAATGCTTACCCCTGCTTCGCATTTTTAGGTTAGGAAGATCATCTCTAGAATGCCTGTTAATCTATGCCACAAAGTAAATCTTGTATGAGAGAACCCATCCTAGTTCTCTGATGATGTGAGATTATTTTTAATTAAAATGTTGTCAATGTTGAATGTCTATTACTTGAATTTTTTCTTTTCCTCAGTGTAAAAGAGTTCATTGACCCCTGAAACTCCGTGAAGACAATTTCTCTTCAGGTCAAGTGATATTGTGCTGAGAACTGAGTGAAGGAGATGGAGAATATTTTAGTATTCTCACTCACAACACAAGTCAACTGAGGATAATTGCAGTCTTTTATTTCTGTGGGTCTATCCACATGCTCATGTGAGCAGTGGAAGTGTGTGTAGGAGGAATATTTATGATGAAAAAAAATGATGATAAGTCTAAGGCATAGAAGTTCGCTTTTAGTGTGGATAACAGCGGAAGCTCCACTGTTCATTTCACTTGTACAGTCTTTCTGGCAGATTCATTAAAGTATAATGAAAATATGAGAAAGGTTTGCAGTGCTCATCATAATACTACTTTAATAACAGCTGATAGGGAAGTAGGTTTATTTCTCATTCATTTCAGTAAAAATATGGTGGTTCTATCAAAGTACATCAATTGATATTTCATATTGATTTCTTCTGCTGTCTTTCTAGCTTGCTGTTTTCAACTTCACCTGTGCTACTGATATAACTCAGTTTCGACAGCTCCACCTAGATGATGTCCGCAGGGCTTTCTTCTTTGTATCCTTTTGCCAGTTGCTGTGTTCCAGGGAGAAGATGGGTTTGTTTCAAAAGGCCCCGCAATCAAAATTTGTAGACTGCAAACAACTTCCTGAAGATAATTCGACCCATGTTGCTCAAAAGAAAATTGGTCTCGCACGTTATGTTTTCTGATAAAGTAGTGAAAAATTCAGTATAAACTGCACTGTTTTGGAATCTGGTTCCTTAGCCACTTTGAAAAGTTTGGTCTCTTATGACCACTACGGTTGAGGTAAACTTTCTTCTAAGGACTCATTTTCAGTTTGGGGTTTTTTATTACATTTTGGCTGGAGGGAACTCTTCCAGCTGGTTTGTGAAGGTTGAATAAGGTGATATTAGGGTTATTCTTATTTTGTCATTTTTTTAGAGTATGGAAGTGTGTTAGGAGGAAAATGTTAGGGGGCGGGCATTGGCCGTGGTCAGGCAGATGAGATGAGGAGGAAGGTTCCCGCAGACTCTTAGTGAAACGCGTTTACAGAATCTGGCCTAGAATTATTTATATCACATATGGTTTCTGCCGTTAGAAATTATATGGGCCTGGGTGGAAAGGGCTGTTTGTTCACTTCATGGCAGTTATTTATTTTGCATTACTGTAAGTGAAACTACAGCTGATTTTTTTTTAATACTGTACAGACTTGATAACATTGTAATTTTTCTCTTCTGCATGGGACTGCAGTTAAGTGAGAGGTATTTGGCAGCAAGACTGATGGGTGTGCAAATGGGAGAGAAATTATGAGCCAGTCTAGAACACAAGGGTTTCTAGTGCAGGTGGGTTATCACAGCTGGAGCTGAGGAGGAAGTTGTCTCAGTACTGGTTCATGGAAAAAACAGGCTTTATAGTTCATAGAATAACCAAATATGAGAGGGTGGATGATACACTACTGGAATTTGGGACAACATTGTTGTACATTGGGAGCCTGCAGCAGAGGAAGTGTGACAGATACTGACCTCATTAAGAAGACAGTTCAGTGCTAAGGAAGGAGGCAAACCAGTTTGCTAGGTATTGAACTTTTGTGTTTGCTTTAGAGTATACCTGAAAAGCAACTGAGGCACTCTGCAGTAAATTTATGAATTTCATTTGCTATTCTGCTATTTTAACAAAAAATAAGCTGACTTCGAGTAAAGCTACTGCTGTACCAGATGCTAAACATTAGCCAAAACAAAAACCAAACAATCCAATTGTATTTTTTAAAGCTCCAGCATAGTACTACTTTAACACTTGAATGTAGCGCTATTTTAATCTCATCTTAATCTAAAACACTTGAATGTATTTTTATTCAACTCCTGAAAAAATACACAATTTCCAGCTCTCATTTGCAGAGACCAGATATGATACACACCTGCTCAAAAGATGATATGTGTTTTTTTTAATTTAGATGCTATTTAATGTTTAGAAATAGTCGTATTAGAAGAAAAACCTTTTCACATTGCAACTACAACCCTGTGAACTGTGTATTTTAAGATTGCCTCAGGGTTCCTATATAGCGTCCAAGTCACTATGTGCTGAAGGACCTTATAGCTTGACCTTCCAGATGAAGATTCAGATTGCTTATGCTTAACATTCTGATTAGACCTATGTGCTAGTGGCATTTTTTTATTTTATTGCAGCACTGTTGTTCTTATAAATCTTAACTGGCAGAACTGTGCAATGCTGTTAGACCGCTGTGTTACTAAAACTGAAATTACGTGATACTCTTGGGAAGCATAATTTCTTTCTTTATGCTGACCTAATCCTTCCAAAATATAGCATGCAGAATCCCAGCAATTCTGCTGAACAGTTGGTAGCATATTGTTTATGCAGAGACTTAAATGATCCCATGCAGGAGCTGTAACAGGAGGGGAAGGACCAGAGGGAGCTCTGGCAACAGCAGCCATCATCACTGACTAAACCTCTGCCTGATGCAAAAAAGCCATTAAAAAACATTCTTTGACTGCAGAGATGTGAGCCATAATGGGCCCCGATGAGCTCAGGAGGGAGAAGAATATCTTTCATGGGCTCATATAGCAGCAAGTGTTGTACCTAGATGATAAGGGTAGAGTTTATTAAAAAACTTCAGCTATACAGATCCTGCCAGAGTTGTCCTCCCTCCCTCAAGTAAGGAAAAAAAAATGGGAGTCCAGTGTTGCAATGGATAGAGTCAGCATAACCTTTGGACAAACAAACCTATGGGAGGGATAGCATAGGAACCTCCAGTCTTGTTTCGTAGCCAACTACCTCTTCCACAATCAATTCCTCAATAAAGCCATCTCTCGGTGTGTGGTACACATACATCTGTCACTACTTTCTATAAAAAAGCATGTGTGTTTGAATGCACAGCTGGGATGGTGGTCCAGGGGTGTTCCTATCTTGCTAGATAAGGGCCTAGAAAAAACAAGTTGCAGCTTTCTGCAGGGGCCTCAAAACAGGCTCTAATATCTTACCCAGGCAGTCCCTGACTTTTAAAGCTTACATAGTCATGTGTGAAATCTTGGGAAGTGCTAGGCAATATTTTATATTTCTTAATGTAGTATAGAATTGTAATAGTGGGTCAGCTTCTTGTAATTTCATGATAGGATTCTGAAAGTGAATTGGAATGAAGGGGGGAAAATGCTGGTTGTGGTTTACTGCAGCCATTTCTGTGGTATATTTTCCTTAAATACCTCTAGGTTTTCTTTATAGTGACAGCCTTTTTTGGCACTGGAAACATAGCTTCTGTTAACAGGTAAATTTTATTCACTGATTTGAGACACAGGGTACAAAAAATTCTTCCTGCACTTGGTGTACTAATTATAAATTTGGTTAGCAAAATCAGAGCAGCAGAATTAAAGAAATGGTGGAATGATGATAACAATTTATTTCATTTCTGCTCTCTGTAACATGTTCCCTAAGAGCCTGAGCTTGTTACAAGGTCGTCTCCATTTCCACTAAAAGTTATTGGCAGCGTGAGCAGAGAGAGCTCAGCTGCTCACCAACAGCTGACACAAGCTGAGAAAAATCGTAAAGAAAAAAAAGTGAGGTAGGCAGTCCCTGATAATATTTGAGCAATAGAAGAGAAAGTTGTTTCAAAATTTATATATGCATAGTGTAATACAGGGGTAACTAGATGCTCTGTTTTTTTTCATGTTTCTCTAGTTTTGATCCTGCTTCTGTCTATTGTTTCTTGACTGTGTTTAGTCCCTTCATGATGGGAGGCCTGCTTCTGCTGAAGGTTAGTAATCTTACCTTGGTAAGGTAAGAACAGTTTAATAAATAGCATATCATGTACAGGGTTGTTACTTTGCAGTTTACAAAACCATGTATATGTATTTGAGCTTCATCAGCCTTCTAAACAATGTGTGAAGCTTTCAACTTTTGTTGTGTTACCAGAGACGGTTCCTTCTGTTTACCAAAAGAGAGAAGCTAAAGTGCATGGAAGTATAATTTAGCTGAATTAGATCTGTTTATTGTATTAAAACGAAAATTTTAAATGTTGCAAAGACTTACATTATTTTCAAAATTATAAGCTTTCCCTATAGTATAATATCTACAGCAACATTGAGGATATATATATTTAATAGCTTTATCTACATTACATTAAGTACAGGCTTTGAATGCTCTACTGATTGAGTTGTCATTTTACAATGAATGTTATTTTTTAATAGTCTATCAAAAATTGGATTGCACTTATTGTTTGCAGGCAAGATGTGGGAGGTCTTTTCTAATGTTTGAGTAAGAGATCTGCCAGAGGAGTAAAGAGGCAAACAGGAAGGGAAACATAGAATTTATGGGTTAATTGCTAAAATAAGCGGTATTTCCTGCCTCTGCCTTTCTGCTGCTTCTGTCCCAAGGAAAGCAGACTTAAGTTACAGGTGTACTGCACGTTACACTGGAGGACATAAGTCAGTAACGCAAATCTCCTAGATGCAAGAGAACAGGTTTTAGCAATGCATTTACACCGCTAATTTAAGGATTACAGTCAACTTTGGAAAGAGCAAAAGGCAACATTCATGTTTCTTACTTGTTTGTTTGTTCTTAATTTACTGAACAGTTTACATTTGCTTGGCTTGGTTTTGGAGGGGCAGTGTGATCCTTGCCTTACTGAATGCATTCTGTCTTCAGACTTTTTTGTGGTTGAGATGAGATTTCCTCTTACACTTGGAGCTCTGCAGCCTGTCCCATGAGACATTGGATCTGAATAGTTCTGTCTTCTAGCCTTGTTGAAGTATTTATCACTAGTGCTAAAATGGATTAATCAAGTGAGGATCATTAACGTGTTTTAATTATGGTTTTCCATATTGCCTCATGGCTTATTTCATTGCAGTTCAGCTATGACCATGGAAGGGGTTTTTATATTCATTTACTAAATGTACTTCCTGCAAAATGAGTTTCTACCCTTTCTTGCCAATATTTTATTTTTGTAGCATACACATTCTGTGATAATTTCAAAAGCAGGAGAATGTTTCCACAACCTGCCAGGTTGTTTTGTAAATATGGCTATAAACCAAAACTTAGCTTGTGTTTTAAACAGGTTGTAATCCCCTTTGTTCTGGTATCATGTGCTTTCGAAGCTGTTCAAGTCACAACACAACTGTCTTCTAAAAGGTACAGTAAATGCTGTTTCTGCATTAGTAAGGGTTTCAAATCTATTTTGCAAGAATTCAGAATTGTCAAATCTCAATCTAAATTTAAAAAAAAAAAACAACAAACCAGTAGATCATATTGTTACTTTTGTTTGTTATTATGGTTTGAGTTTTTGTTCAGTGATTTTTGCAAGCTCAGGAAATCTTTTCTTAGTGATAAATGACTGTAAATGGAAGTGTTGGCCCTGTCTGAAACAATCAGATATTTAATGTTCTTTGTTGACAGTACATAGAAGGAGCACTTTTTCCCCCATAATGTAGAAAACTGAGCAGAATTTAAAGTCTGATTTTTGTTTTGTGTTGCAACTCTGCCTCTAGTATAAGATTTCTAAAGTAACCAACCCATTTATACTATAACCAGTTTATAGCTTTATAGTAGTGACCTCATAACAAATAGCATTTTAAAAAAAAAAAAAAAAAAGGCTGGATGCCTGTCCATTGCAGTTTAGTGCTTCCTAGGTGTGTTCAGTGTTAGGTATTTTTTTCAGTGACTGCTAGTCCTTTTCCCCATCTCTAGAGACTTTTCAGAGAGAATGTGACACAGGTAGCCAGCCTTGCAGAGTGCTGTATCCAGACTTGAAATACCCTCACACTTTTCACTGTCTCAAAATTATTTTTTTACTGTTAGCCCTCCCTAGCCCTTTCAGTGGACCCAGTGCACATGACTGAATCCTCTCCTCATCAAATGAGATTACAGATGGTGCTGAGATGGAGAAGGTCCCTGTCAGCCATGTGATTTTGAGTTTGTTACCATGGGATGTTGTATGGGGTTGACAGAAACTCTTGCTGTCTGTGGCAGGGGGACCCCATGGACTCTGTCCTGCATATTGCTTAGCTGAGCAGGAGAAAGCTGCCTTTGCTCAGCGTGGTGACCTCTGCCTTTCTCTTTGTTTTCATCCTGCCTGTGCCCTGCCTGTTGTCTCCTCCTACAACACCTTGTGATACTAACAAGGGACAGGGCAGCCTGAAATCTAACTTCTTGTTGGAGGGGTGGCAGAAGGTTCACCATCCCTTTTACCTTCTCTGACTCAGCTGTGGGTGCAGTGTACTTGGGCTGTTCCTGGACCCCCAAGGAAGCGTATTCATCCTTCTCACTAAGACTTATACAAGAGCAGGTCTGCACTGAGGAATTGGGGTTGCTCAGAAGACCAGCTAACAATTTCCATTTTTAGGGCTCAGGCATCATAAAGGTCAGCATTTCCTAACTTGTGAATGCTTGCCTTGGCAGCGCTGGTGATATTGCAAGCTGTTATGGAATGAGCATCTGAGTGTGTGAGAGGGGAAACAATATCAACTTATTAAACTAGGGGACATGAGTATGTTTGTGCTGCTTTATGAGGCTGTGGTTGTAAGTCCAGCTGGTATTTGTGCCGACTTCATTTAGCTGTGCTCAGGTAACAGTAGCAGTGATACTGCCACAGCATCAGCCTGGGAACAAGACAGAAACCACAAGACGCCCCCAGGATCCCTGGAGAGGTTGTGCTCTGATTGTCAGCCTGTCCTGATGTCTGTGCTGCACTCTATTGCTCTTGCTGCCCCTGCTAGATAAATTAAGTTCTCACAGGAGACAGTCTTGTCTTTGCAGTGTATAAACATGCCCCGAAATTAGTATTGTCCTTCTGTTGTGAAAGGCTTCCTGCAGTTCAGAAGGGCAAAAAGTAGATTTTTGTGATTTGGACAAATTGCTCCTGAACTCCCTGTTTACAGATTAAATTTTTTTTGCTGTTCATGGGGAATGTTCTGTCAGAGTATGTTCTTGGAGCTTACCTATGAAAACAGGCCTCTAGCTGGGTGCCTCCTAGGCACTACAAGATTGCAACATCCTATCCAAGCCATAGCCAAGTGGACAAAAGTCTTTCAGTGCATCTGAGTTACAGCTGGTTTGTTGCATCCTTATTTACTAATGAAGCATATCTGACCTTGGCAATATCAGAAACTTCCTCATCAGGAGTCATTGGTATGGGTGGCCCTCAGTACATGCTCATGTAGCGCTGCAGCAGGACATTTTCCCCAAAAAAGCCTTGTGGATTTATGATGGTAGTACTGATAAATTAACTGTATTCTAGTTAAAGACTTCTCAGTTAATGGGTCAGCTGTTTGCAACATTGCTTCAGTGTCATTAACTTAGAAACTAGTTTTAACCAGTTATGTCAATTGCTTTCATGTAATTTAGGATTTACATAGTTTAATGAAAAGAAGATTAGGTTAATGGGGGGAAAAACTAGCTCTCTGTTCTCTTTACTGGCCGCAGCCTACTTTCCAGAAGTAACCTGCTGCCTGACAGGCCCATGGGTTTGGGAGCGTGCTACCAAAATGCTGGGTGTTCTCAGAGCAGTTTATGGGCACCCAGAGGTCAGGAAGTGGGGTGAGCACCATCATTAGCAGCGCGCTACCCACCAGGGTGGTTGTCAGGATAGGACTGATCAGCTCGGGTGTCGGTGGGCAGGCGCTGTTTGTAAGATGCTCTTGTTCTCTGGTAAATGACTCGTGTTAGATTCCTTTGTTGCAAAATTGAAACTCTGTTAATGTGAAATGTCTTTTTCAAGCAGGGTGGGATTACAAATGCCAGATGTTCTAGCCATATCTTTTAACTGTTCTCTAATAAACTGAAATCTGACTCATTGAATGGCAAGTGCAAGAAATCATATTTTAATTTCTTTATGGGGATTTTAATAAGCTTTGTAACATCTGTGGTCATGAATAAAGGTTGATGGTCTGGTTCTCTGGGTTTTTTTCTTTTCTTTGCAGCCTTTTCCTCATTGTTCTTGTTCTTTCAGACATTATGGCTTTGGTAAGTTGTTGTTGCACATTCTCTTCAAATAAGATCAATAAGCAGAGGGCTCTCCTAACTCCGTCTGGAGGGATCTGAATTTGTTTGAGACTTCAAAGTTTTTGTAACTAGGACAGTGAATCAGTTTGAAATCCTAGCATAATTTAGAGATAAAACTCCTCCAATCACCGCTCTTTGAATTTCATGTAATTAATGCTTTTGAAGGAGCAATATTCTCATAATAATAAGAGACAAAAATGAAGTTATTCAGAGTTTTTTAATGTGCTTTCCAATCAAATTCTTAGGAAGAATTTAAATAAGAATATCTGTTTTAGCTGTATGCAAGGTTTAGTTAATTTTTTGAACCTTTTACTCACCCCACCTTCTCTTGAAAAAGAGAGGAAAAGGAGAAACGCACTACCCACCAACTCTGTTAAAGTTGTCAGAATCCAGGAGATTAGCTACATCCAGAGACTCTTTGTGCCCTTTGTAATAAACTTTTAGGACATGCTGTCTTCAGAAAGCTTGCATCCACAAACCAAGCCAGCTAAAACAACCCAAAGCTGAAAAATATCCCAACATAAATTTTACAGATTAAAAGTATGTTTTTGTTGCCCCCTCAAACTGCTTCAGCCCAGCAAGCAGTGCCACTGGGTATCACAGGGTAAACAGAAACCTTTCCAAAGCAGCAGATAGAGCTGGTGTTCTCACTTTGTACATGCTGGTTTAGTTTCATCCCTTTAGAGTAAGCATTCCTGATGTGATTTCCTTGTACATTGTGGTCTGTTGATCTCACCTGATAGGAAAAACAGTGAGCAAAGAGCCAAATAATGACTAATTTCTCTGTAGAGTAAGACATGGAGAAGGTATAGTTTTGTGTAGTTTCAAATAAATCTGTGTCACTAATTTGATTTTGGTAACTTCCACAGGAAAAGGATTGAAATACCAGTAAAGTCATACTCATAGCATTTCACTAATAAAATCAAACTAGACCAAAATAAAGAGTGCAGGCATGTACTGGTGTGTAGCAAGCCTCAGTATATCCAGGTCTTATATCTCACATATTCTCCTATTTTGGTTTAACTATTTAAAAACAATTGGCAAATATGTACTTGGTGTGCAAAACAAAATATTCTCAAAGAGGTTTGATGTGCAGGAGCTGTGTATATGTCAAGAAATGATAAAGTTGGCAGGAAAAAAGAGAGAACTGTTTTGTGGTCTTGAATCAGTGTAGCCACCAGCTAGAATTTGGGGGATTCACTAATAGACAAGTGCTATCTTCTCCCAACATTATTCCCATTTTACAGCTGGAGAACTGCCAGAGTTGCCCAAAGAAATTGTGGCAGAATGCCATGAGAACAATATATCAGCCTTCTCTCTGGCACTAGGCATTATCTGGGATCCTGTTATTACTAGCAATAGGGTGACTTGGCTTTTCTTATTGAAAATGTTCTCTGCTGGTAATCTTCTTTTTCTTGCAAGCCCAGTTTGACAGAATTTAGTCCATCTTCAGCTGTTTGTTTCTGATACCATGTTAAATCTGTTTTTGGCTCCTAGACTATTCTTTACTTTGGTACAAATGAGCATTCCTGGAAAGGTCTTGCCCTTGTTCTACTTGAAGAATTAGAAACTTTGAGTAAACATCTTGAAAACATGGTTTTTAATTTAGTGTTTCAAATTGTGCAATGTTGATGTACTAATCAAGGTTGTTTTATTTCCTAGCATTTTTTCTTTTTGGTTAAAGATTATGGAAGCTGGCTGGATATTGGAACAAGGTACAGTATTTTTTTGCCTACATTGCATTTTTAAAAGGCTCATAGGTTAATATTGTTGTTTATCTACTCAAAACGCTTGTAATTTTTTCCAATTACTTAATCTAATGCTTCGGTGGTGTTCCCCGTACTTAAAATGCATGTGCATGCAGGTATGCACACATATATACATGTATCCCAAGGTAAAACTTGTGTCTTAAAATCTGTTCCAGAACAACATGGAGTAAGTAATTAATCTAGCATGGCAAGAAACACAGTTAGTAGGATTTGTTTGATTTCTGAAGAATGATAATTATGCAAAAAATATTTTAATTACTGGTTTGCATTTTAATTAGTTGTAATCACTGTTACAATAATAATTTATCAAAATTGTTAATTGTCTTGAATCTAGTTATGCCTCCATATACAATCCCCAGTGAATTAATGAGCCTTGTGCAAATATGTTGGTGACTACCAAGACCCATGCGTTTATCCTCACCTTTACCTTGGGGAAGAGTAAATCTATAGCATTTAAACATAGAAATCACAGCTAAACCAAGAGAATTTCTTTTGCGTTGAGTCATAATAGTCTCCACAACATACATCATGGGGTAGGTTTTTCAACTGTGTCTTATTTGTGAGTAGTCCAGAAATAACAAATACAAGGAATACACATTCCAGATTTTTCTTCCATGAGCTGTGGAAATAGATAATATGCTGTAATAAATTTAGTAGGGAACGTGTTGTTAATAATCCAGCCAATCTGGTCACTTGACACTAGTATTTAAACAGAAGTTGAATAGTGACTCATTGTTAATATTCTCTTCAGTCTATATTTGCTCTGTGCTTTGCTGAGCCCCAACATTCCCTCCAGTGCATGCATGCATGTACACACATGTGCACATGTTCTGCCTGTTTTCTTTGAAGGTTCCTAATGCGAGGAGATACAGTTAGATCAAACAGTGGAAGCGATGCTTGCTATGGTCAGTTTATGGTAAATCAGATGGCCTCTCCTTTGATTTGAATTCCTGTGCAAATTAACAAGAATATTAAAGACCTTAGAAAAGCTCTGTTCTGCTGGTCAAGAAGCTAATTGGGTGTTAGCAAGCAAAAATATAAATTATTGCAAGTACCCAAAAACTTCCTCTCTGATGTATGGTCTTTGTAGCATAGAGATTTACAACAGTGATAAATTGTTGGATCCATTTCAGCTAGAAGTTTGCCTTATCCTGAAGAGTTTAGGGGAGCTCCTTATGCACAACCATAATTCTGCCTCTTCATATGTGTGTTTTGAGCACTGAAGAAAACAATTTAAAAGTACTTTCAAAAGAATAATTTGTGATTAATTTTTAACGTGGTAATGCATAATGCTCAGGCAGCCTTAAATTTGTCATTACTTCACTTTTGAGTGCTTGACTTTGCCACCTACGTTATTTTATTGTATATATGTTTTGTGTGTGTGTGTGTATGCACATGAGATAAAAATTACTAGGTTGCATAAGAAGAGGTGAAGTCATAGGTGCAGACCTGAAGGTGGTCCTTTTACTTAGTATGAGCAATATTTTGGCACCTGAGCCTTCTCCTCTGAGCAGATTTCTAATGTATGGTCTTCAAGCTTGGCAAAATTAGCAGGCAACAGTAGAAGATTTTTTTTTTATTTTTTTTTTTTTTTTTTTTCTCTTGTTCATTCCTGAAAGGGAATATGAGCTTCATGGAGTTTTGGGCAATTCCCCAAAACAGTGGGAGAGCAATGCTAACATGGCTTTTTCCTGTCTTCCTGTTGCAACTCCAGTGACAGGTCTGTGGCATTCCCACTGCAGTGTTGTCTGTTGTTGCTTTGACAGCAAGGTCTGAAAATATCCCATCTCAGCTGACATTTTAGGTGTTGCCAAAATTTTTGCGAGAATGCTGGGTCAGTTAAGGAAATGATGGCTCTTTTTTTTCCAACTGTTTGTGTCTCAACAAAACCTGTGTAGGATTTCATGGAACAAGGGACAAAGAATAGGAGCACCCTTAGGGACAGCTGCTCTCACCTTTTTTTTTTTTTTTTTTCCCTTTTGTTTTTGAGGCACTGATAGGAAGTGTGTGTGTGTGTGTGTGTGTGTGTGTGTGTGTGTGCATGTGCAATTATCAGGGTTCGTTTTGTGTTAGTAGTTACTACATCATTGAAATCACAGGTAGAAGAGCAGTAATTTAATTGCCCAGTTAAGATTAGTTCCTTTAAAGTCTTGTCAGAGTCCAGTGGTATATGTGGCACATTTGCAAAGCTTCTGATATATATTTCCATGTTAATTCTTTTTTGTGGTGATAACTTTCTATGGATTTTCTAATTACTACGCTTCAAAACTTTTGTGTGTCCTCTCTCTTACTAAGGATGTGCAAGTTCAGTAGGAAACCCTCATTAGACAATACTTAGATATTTCAATACCATTGCTCAGAAGTTTCATGTGTAAGACCTGTTTTTAAATCCCTTGTGATAAAAAGACCTTTACTGCTTTTTTATGGTGATGTGAATCTCTGTTATTGTCTGGAAGTAGGGTTTGTTTACTGAACTAACATACTTGGTTTTTTTTCAATTTCACCCCAACTTCTATCTTTTACATCTCATTCTACCATGCCTTAACCACACTCCATGTCATTTTACTGTGCCTTATATCTGCCTTAACAATGTGATGGTTTTATTCTTCCAGCTATATTCACCATGCCACTTAAGTACTGTCTTTGAATTTAGAGAGATTTCTACTTTTCCCACTCATCCAGATCATTAGTGAAACACTGAGCAACAACAGGTCCAACATATAGTACTGTATTACCACATTCAGCAGATTATCAATGCACCATTGATTCCCTTCTCTCAGTAAATTATCAATTACCATAAATATTTATGGCTTCTTAGAAAGTTTTAAAGCCCCTTTGCTTAATGATCATGCCAAAATCAATGTGAACTTGTTTTTCAGAGAGTGCTTTTCATTGTTTTTATATAATAACAGGATAATAATCTTGCAGTGAATGCTGAACTCATCAGTGTCTTATGCAAGCTTCTGAGGTCTGCTAACCTTACCCTCTACCTATATATCTTGAGGTCACCCTGTTGCATCATATGCCCTAGGCAAGCACACCATTACACTTCATAAATATAATTAAGCAGTTTTCCTAGTATTTTTGATGTATTAGTGTGTAGTACATGATTATGAGAAGCTTGTTCAGACAGATTA